TTCTATTTATCTATCAATTGTGGAAAGTGAGGCATTAAGGTCTCCAACTATCATTGTAGAACTGTGTATTTCTCCCTTCAGTTTTCTAAAGGTTTGTTTTATATATTTTTTGGCTGCCATATGGTGTATATATGTTTATAATTGTTATATCTTTTTGATAAACTGAAACTTTTAACAATATAAAATGTCCATCTTTGCTCTTGTAACATATTTTCACTTAACATCTAATTTGTCTGTTATTAGTATAGCCATCCCAGTTCCTTTTTGGTTATAATTTCCACATATTTACATAACGTTTTAATAGTAAAATTCAGATTATGATATCTAAGCAAGTGATGGTGGTTCAAGAATAAATTTTTGTCATGTTATTGTTTATTCATTTAGTGGAGTTTTTTTTTTTTTTTTGAGATGGAGTCTCGCTCTGTCGCCCAGGCTGGAGTGCAGTGGCTGGATCTCAGCTCACTGCAAGCTCCGCCTCCCGGGTTTACGCCATTCTAGTGGAGTTATTTTTTAAATGTCAAGCAAAGTTTTGCTTATAAGCTAAAACAGTGGATGCAGGAAAGCTAATATTCAGAGGAAAATTTGCTGTTTTTATACTTATATTTATATTTTTATGGGTGAATACTGCTTACTATAGAATTTATTCCTTTGAAATTATTAATTCCTTGCATTTCTTTCTAGATAAGAGCTGATGCTTGCTGTACAACTGAGTTTATTGTGTGTATCTTGTCCTAGTTGCATTAATAGTCTACACAATCATAGAAGTCTCAAATAGTAGTCATATTAATTGCTACCAGATTATTACATATATGAATATATATTTTATATGTAGTATATATGTATTTATGTATATATACTTTAATGATATTAAATGTAGATATCAAGTCAATTTTTTAAACATTAAACCCAATGGACTTATTTGACTTGTAAACCTCTGAAAATGTAGATCACATAAACTCTTGAAAATTTACTATGGCTTTTAAAGTTCTTAGAATATATCAGGTAAGTATATTCTACATATTTTTCTCTAGATATACCACCATACAAAGATGAGCATTTTATGGTGATACCATTGCATAGAAGTAAATTTAGTATCAATTTACTTTAATTTTCTAATATCAGTTTCTCTTCAAATTTTTGAGAGAAAAGTTTAGGCTTAGACTATCAATCCAAGATTGATTTAGAAATACATGAATTTGATTTTTTTCCTTTTGGGAAAATTATTTTGAAGCCTGTCGTGCTTTACTTATAGAGAGTTTTATATTTTACAAACACCTGCTATAATATTTTACAAAAAAAGATTTATTATGGAAATAACTTATGTATACCTTTTGATAATTATAAGTATGTTAAAGTCACAAAATGATCTGTGAATGTTCCTCCCTTGTCCTTTTTTTCCCCCAATAGATGTTGCTCATTGTTTTGGTTTCTCCATCTTCCTTCCAATTCTGTAATAATCCTTTAGGATCAGTACCTAATCCCAGCAAGCCAAAATGTTCAACAAGTCTCTATGAATTACAATGAAGAAAAGATGAATTTTAATCAAAAAGAGGTAAGCTATTTGTATGTATTACCATCAACTTTGTGCTCAGTAACGTGGGATTCACAGTAAGAACAATGATTTAGAAAGTCAAAGATAAAAATACAGAAATACTTGTTCAGTAAGCTTTTAGCATATATGAGCTATCTGAAGTGTACAATTGTGTGTCCTATCCAAGGAAAAGTTTGCATTTCTGTAAAGGAAATAATAGGTTAGTTAATGCTGTTAAACAACATAGTGGTTAAGACTCTAGACGCTAGTGTAAGACTGGCCATATTCAAAATCTGGCTCGATTGCTCATTGATAATGTAAACTTAGACAAACTACTTAATATCTTTAAACCTTAGCATTTTTGTCCATAGAACAAGGATAATATCAGTACCTATCTCATTCAGTTGCTGCAAGATGGTGTTTAGAAGAATAATAAAATTTTAATAAAGTTTAGTTGTCTTATAACTAAAATCTATTGGAAAAACTCATGCCTGTAAACCTAGCACTTTGGGAGGCCAAAGCAGGCAGATCATTTGAGGCCAGGAGTTCAAGACCAGCCTGTCCAACATGGCGAAACCTCATTTCTACTAAAAGAATACAAAAATTAGCTGAGCGTTGTGGCAGGTGCCTGTAGTCCCAGCTACTCAGGAGCCTGAAGCACAAGTATCACTTGAAACTGGGAGGCAGAGGTTGTAGTGAGTCAAGATCGTGCCACTGTACTCTGGCCTGGGTGACAGAGTGAGACTCAGTCTCGAAAAAAAAAAAAAAAAAATCTATTGTTTTAAAAAATGCATTGACCAAGTCAGAGAAATAGTTGTATAAGGTAAGTTGTGTGAATGTATGTTTCTACATTTATTTTGTAATATAAAGAAGGTTGTGTACTTGTATAATGCATTTATTTCTAAAAGAAGTAACTGAATTTCATATTTTCAGAAAGGAGACATTATGATGAATAATTTATAAAATTTTATTTATTAAATATTTAGCTTTTTTAGATACAATTTTTCTTACCAGGCTTTGATTGCAGTAATACGGGAACACTTATTAAAAAGCCATTGTTGTCTCACATATGTCCTTATGCTGATGTATCATTTGTAAATGGAGACACTGGATCTTTAATGCTTTTTTCCCCATCAAGAAGAGTTCCTACCAAGCAGAAAATAAAACTGGTTTGCTGATAGTTTTTTTTATTTACCTATTCTATGCACCGTTCCAGAATGGATATGAAACTTTGATTATTGAGTTAGTCTGATTTCATGACTGGTCGATTCAGTGAAGAAAGGCCAATCAAATCACATGCTATCTCGATAAAACAACTAATACTATCTACCTACCTACCTATCTATATTATTTTACAATTTCACTTCATGTATTTTATAGGAGGTCACACTATTCGAAAACATGTTCTGACTTGTGTTTATATAGCCTTTCTTTCTTTTTTTTTTTTTTTCCCCCCGAGACGGAGTCTCACTCTGTCGCCCAGGCTGGAGTGCAGTGGCAAGATCTCGGCTCACTGCAAGCTCCGCCTCCTGGGTTCACGCCATTCTCCTGCCTAAGCCTCCCAAGTAGCTGGGACTACAGGCGCCGGCCACCAGGCCCAG